CTCCCCAAAGAGAGCTCTACCCCTAGTTCTCTGAGTTTCTCGTGTCTTTCCTGACCTGAGCTCACAGGTAGAACTTGTTTGAGGTATCATCACAATTTATATAGCGGATCCTCCTCAAACCCTGAAACGGTGGAAGCCAAATGCACTAGTTATGTCCTTTTTTTTTTTTAGGAGAAATCATCTACAAAGTAGTAAAGAAAAGTTCGAAAGAGAGTAAAACAGAATTCACGGAAAGAGGGTATAATTGAGAAAACAACCAATTTTTTTTTATCAATTGAACTTTGGAAAGAAGAGCAATGATATTCCAATGTAGGAATCTAATAAGAGCATCCAATATATTTATATCATTGCATTAATGGTGAATGCAAATATTAAAGACTAATATTATTGAAATTTAATTTGCTGATGTAATTTATTATGATTTTTAGATTGATTAAACTTTGTATTGATCCAATAATTTTATTAAAATTATATCATTAAATCAATAAATTAGATCAAATCTTTTAAGTCTAAATAACATTAGTTAATATTAAACGAGGATCATTGCAAAGCTATCGACAACTCAAACTAACAGATACAAAGTTGCAACCTCTATCCGTCAAACCATACTGTGTTACGCATGGGCAAACCACCAGTCCAAGTCAAACTTTCTTTTCCCTCCATGTCCGACCCCAAACCCTGGATATAAATATACCTCTACTGCTCAAAGCTAATCCACAACCCCTTCAGTTCCTCAATTCCTTCTCTCTCTTTCTCTCTCTCTCTCTCTAAGGGGTCTATGAAAGAATTGCTTTGCAACACAATGAAAAAATCTTGCTGCAATAAACAAGACACCAACAGAGGAGCTTGGTCCAGGCAAGAGGACCAAATACTTATAAATTACATTCAAAAACACGGCGAGGGTTGTTGGCGCACCCTACCTCAGGCTGCAGGTACGTAAATAAATCATTTGACTCTCTCCATATTTTATAATAGCGAAGTCTTATTCAAGATTACTAGTATATGAATCTTAGTGTATAAATGATAAACTTTATGTGTATACGACTGTATATGTGTTCGAGCTTGGAAGAATAGAGTAAGTTTGGACTGAAAAAAGCAAAAAAAAAACACTAATATATAAAAATATATGATACTAAATATATTTATTTAGATAATAAAAATCAAGAAAATACTTAAAATACAGTATCAAAACCTACCTAACTTTTTTTGTTGTGGGTCAGGTCTCCTTCGTTGTGGTAAAAGTTGTAGGCTGAGATGGATAAACTATCTAAGGCCAGACATTAAAAGAGGCAACTTTGGTGAAGATGAAGACGATCTCATCATTAGGCTCCATGCACTCCTAGGCAACCGGTACGAAATCTTAAACCCATGTTATTTTTAGTTGGTTTCTTTGTCCACTGTAGTTGCTCTATAATTGTATTTTTTTTTTCTTTCAGTAGACCATCTATAATTGTTTTTACTAGTGCCTCCTGTCCAGATTTGCACCCAGGGGCGGGTCATGATAATTTGAGGTCTAATACTAAATAATTTTTTTTATTTTTAGTATTATTTTTAAAAATAAAAAATATTTTTAATTTTTTTAAATGAGAGAGGAGGATGTGATACTTTGTTTTTGTTTTTTAAGAGAGAGAATAGATGTGAGTAAATATGAGTTGACTTTTGATTTTTTTAAAATTTTTTATTTTTAAATTTTTAATTTTATGAATTGAATTATAAGCCCAAATTATTAAAATTATAATTTTTTAATTGGACTTAAATTTTTTGGGGCCTTTTTGTAAGACCTAAAATTTTCATGCATTTAAATTTTTTATGTGGGTTGGGTTAATTATGGGGCTTTACTTACCGAAAAACAAAAATTATGGGCCTTTTAAAAATACAAGACCCAAATAGATGAATATAGAATAAACGAGTTTTTCCAATTCAATCCTATCTAATGTCTAAATAAAACACACCCGTAATTTAAACCCTTACAAAAAATTTTCTAGGAATGAATGCCAACGAGTTAAATTATCGAATTACGTAAACGGCCTGTTATTGTCTTCACTCCTATGAAGTGATGGGCCTCTTATCCATTGGCTTATCCATTTGTTTTTTTTCAAAGAAATTTGGAGGCCGGTCCTCTGTGCACTTGTTTGGAGATAAGTTCGGTAAAAAAATTTATTAGAGTTTAAGTCCGTATTTAAACTTATATGTAGATACTTAAATCCATTTTTTTTAAATCTCAATATTACCCCTAACAGTGTTAATTTTGTCCAATTATGAAAAGTCTAATAAGTTAAATCTTTAAAGTATATATAAAAACTTTAGTTTGAGTTATATATGAAAATTATTTTTCATTAAAAATCCTGATAATTAAATAAAGAATATATAGAATGTATATACTCTACTAGCTATATATAAAAACCTGATTGACGAATTAATTCAGATCACAAGTTTTCCTTATCAATTCGAATTCTTAACCAATTTTAATCTGTTATACTTTTGAATAATATGCTTTTGTGTTTGGCAGAGGGTTCGAAGGTGATAGAAACAGTCGTGAGACCCTATATTATTAATGATGTTACTGTCAAGGTTACTATTTAATGATCATTACATCCAATAACCAATCGTGCAACAATGTTACAAATTCACTTGATAATGAATAATTACAATGGACTTTAACATATCAATTCCAGATACAAACACAATTTTAGCATTTTAAAATTGAATGGTTATGTTAGTTGGAACATTTTTTAACACGTTACTGTTTGAGTTACTGTTGCGCTTACAAATTGAACAAAATTTCCTTTGTTTTCCAAACGTTCCAGTACAAACAAATTTCCAAACCTACATCAACATATCAATTTAATATTAAGATGTAACATCCAAACCACAATTCTATATGTTTGAATACTCCATTTAAACAAAGTACCAAACAGTAAACAATTACAACCATTTTTTAACTGAGCTTACAATTAGCTAATGAATGAATAGCTTTACAACATCACCAATTTTTATTTTTTTGGTATTTTTTTTTTCAATCTTGATCTTGTCTTGTAGTCTTCAACAGTCCATACATTCTTATGATTTATGAATGGGGTCACCATATGTATCCGTAGAGCGTTAAGTTGTACTGATTTCAATTTCTCTTCTATTTCCTGTAATTGTCATCAACCTGTAGCACGACGTTGTAATATCAACATGAATATATTAGACAGTTGTAATATCAATATCCTACACAAACATATAGTATCATGATACAAAATAGTACCGCACAACATATGGTAACATACAAAATAGTAACATACAGAATATAGTAACATGATACCAAGCGTAATGGATATAAACCAATTATGAAAAATTTTGTGCAAGAGTAACATTAACAGTTCCACCAAATTACATGATGTAAATATAGTAACATCAAGTTAGTAACATTAAATTCTTAACTAAATCTCAGTAACATCATCTTCAGTAACATCAGATAAACACAATTTTGTGCGCCAGTATGTTACAATTATATGGTTTGAAGATTGCACTATGCATAACATTGTCCTAAAGAAATTGAAACTGTTGAGTACTCTTGTAATATCATGATTACACTAGTTCATGAACATCATTTTCCATTGTTGAATAAAAAGGATTCATTCTCAATCAACACTTTAAAGCAAACAATAACCCCCTCAAAAGTTCGGAAACAAATTAGGGTGCATCAAAGTGTATCGGTCTATCGTAACCTCGTGTTCTTTTCACAATAACACAACGAATAAAAATGGAATTGTTTTAAGAAACTCAAATAGTAACACAAACTTAACCCCAATTTACACTTTTCAATACCAATTGCAAACATTTTTAGACGTATATTATGTAACATGCACTTTTAACTTTCATAATAACACCAAAGTTTTGTGCTTAGTAACACATCGACTTTCACAAACTACAAGGCTATAAGGTGTTCACGGTAACATTAATTTTCGAAAAATTATAGTGAAAATACGATCCACAAATTGAATATTTACAAAATTTCTAGTAGTAACACACCGTCAATAGTTAAATTAGGACACTCAACACCAATCAAGAACATCAAGATGACATTATGAGATACATTTTTCAAGTCCTCACATAGTAACATGATATATTTCACAAACACACAACAAAGGAATTTCCAATGTCTTACACAACGACAAAACAACAAAATCAAAAAACATAACACTTTAATATAGTAACAAGGAAATCTCAATTTTATGGTTATGAATGCAAAAAAAAAAACCAGTTGACAGTTTGAACGATAAATCATTTTTTTAGATCAATAAGCTAGTTATTAAATTTATATCATCAATACAAACAATCTCTCAATTACACAGAAACGCCACAAAACACAGACAAGAAAGAGTACCCACAAGAACTCTATTTTCTCGTCCATTTCCTCTCCTCATTCTCCAAAAACAAAAACAAAAACAAAAAAAAACACACAAAAACATACATTTAAAACAAAAATTGAAAAGGGTTTATGGAAAGTGAGAGTACCAAAATGCACAGCCAATGTGATGGTTGAATTGAGGATCAAGGATGATAACTAGACGGCTTTGACGACACCATCAGAGTCATTGTCATCAGCAGAAGCAGGTGGGTTTGGATTGAGAGGGGCATAAATGGTGTCATCGTCAGTGTCGTAATATGGGTTGAGGTTGCGATCTATGGCTTCACGATCCTTTTCAAGACATGGTTTACAGGCCATTTCTATGGTTGTCCAACACAGTGCCAGTCCCACTATTGCTATGATTGCTGCCGTTAGTGCCCCCATCTCTCTCTCTCTCGCTCTCTAATTTCTTTGATTTTTGCTCCTGGGTTTTGGGAATTGAGAGAGAGGAAAGGATAAATCATGTAAAGGTTTCTTTAAAACCCTTAAAGAAACCTTTTGTACGGAGAAGGAAACTCTGCTGCATGGACGATTATTGTCGAATTTGAAGCCTATTATTCAGGAGTGTATATCGCTGAATGAGTTTTATTCGTCTATGTAGAAGATGGTCAAGACAGACGTCTGTTATACTTTTTCCAAAAGGTAGAGGTAATATAGTAAACTTGAAGAAAAGTGGATTTAAAACCAAATAAGTTTTCTTGTCGGACTTATCTCCAAACAAGTCCATTTAGGAGGACCCATTTCCAATTTTCACTTCTTTTTATTTTGGAAAGGTAGGTACCCTTTTGTTTTACTTAGTTACTACCATTATCAAACTTTTGTTGTATAACTACTTAGAAGACGTAATTTCTACTATTGTACCTCAAAATATTAATTTTTTATTAATATTTGAAGGTTATAATTATTTGGTTGTTTAAATAGTTGCCTTTTAGGATCATCCCCACATCTACAAACCCTAAAATGTGAGGATCGATTCTAAAATTCTTAAAAAACTTTGTAATTTCACCTAGAGACAATGTAACACAATTCTATATGATATATGTTTTTTTTTAACTATTGATCTTAACTCTTTGTTGAACAAAGAGGAATGGTCTAGTGCTTAGTTCTTTTCCCACCTTGCCTTTTGGTGCAAGGTTTGAGTTTCACCAACTTCCCCTCCCCTATATGAATAGTGACGACTTTTTGTTGTAATTCGACTCAAAAAAATTATATTTCAAACCAAAAAAGAGCATGAAAATCTTGACATGAATACAAAGAATTTGGTGGGTATTTCAGAAGAACCCAAAGACGCTCTCCATGAAATCCTATGGTCATATCTTTCTCCTAAGGACTATAGAACTATCTCTCTGGCTTTTGGTCCAATAGTATTCTTTATATTGTAAAGACTTTGTCTTCTTCAGGTTATGGGTTCAAGTCTCCTCTCTCCTCTCCCTTCCCAAAAAAAAATCTCTGGCAAGTTGTCAAATTACCAACGATATAAACCTTAGTATCGTACCTCCATTTGTAACAAAGTCACAAATTGTTTTTGTAGATGGTCACTGATTGCTGGGAGATTGCCAGGACGTACGGACAATGAAGTGAAGAACTACTGGAACTCTCATCTGAGCAGAAAACTTGAGAATATGGGAATCGATCCGAATAATCATCGTATAAACCACAGTTCTTCTCGAAGTCCATGTGTCTCTAATAGTTCGACATTAATGTCTGCTTCGAAAAGCCATGAATGCAAACGTGTAAAATTTCAGGTTAATAATGATCATGTCTCAGATGCTGCAAGCTTATTGGAGGATGATGACCCACGAGGAGGCTTGCCTGATCTGAACCTTGGTCTCACCATGAACGAGACCTGCAATTCAATTGCTGCCATTGATGAGGAGAGAGAACCAGAGTCTACATCAAAGGGACTTGAACATGGTCCATCTTCTACACTTCTTTTTAGGTGATACAATTATTTTGTAAAAAATATGGAGATAATTTCTTTGTGTGAATTGTATCTTAACCTTCAAAGTTTGTTGAGTCAGTGATATTTTACTTTTCTACTGTTTGGGAATCTAAATATCGAATAATGCTGTTAAAACTTAAAAAACTTTAGACACTAAGCTAATGATGCTATTAAGATTGAAAAAACAATTGATTTGATCAAGTAACAAGGTTGTAGCTGTAACTGTTGGATCTTTTTTCTGGGTCACATAAAACATTATTAGCCTGGAGTATTAAGTCAAATTTCTAGACCACAATAAGTTTGGTCATTCCAATGATCACCAATAATTCACACATTGCCTGAGTAAGATTTAATAAGCATATTACGACGTGTCAGTAATAACTAGTGGTGCAATTCGGGCGGGTTGGGTATGTTGGACAGTCAATTCAAGGTATATAATCTTCAACCCTAATCCTACCTCAGGTTGAGTTTCGCACTGTCCGAATTTAATTCGGGCGGGCTCAGGTTAATGATTTGGGTTATTTTACGGGTTCAATTCGGATTGAGTTCGGGTAGAACTCAAAATAGGTTTGTTGTTCTAAACATAATACATATATTACATAATATTAACCTAAATTAACAACCATTAACTTCAACCAAGTTTTTAACAGTGCTAATGCTAGAACAAAAATGAAAATGAACGAGAGAGACAGAGAACGATAAAACAAAAATGAAAAACTAGTGCTAATGTTTTATATATATATAATTTTTTTTTTAATTTGTCGGGTTCGGATTGAATCTGTGAACCCGAGGCCTTAATCCGAGCTCAACCCAAATTGAATTTGGGTTAGAGTTTTTTGACTCAAGCCTAACCCAAGTATTAAAAACCCTTACTCAAACCCTAATTTTTTCGAATTGGACTTAAATTGAAATTGAATTACCCAACCCAAATTGCACCCCTAGTAATAACATGATATCATTGTTGTATTGAATATTTTCATGTATCAAACCATTGGTTTAGGACTAAAGTGCAATATCTAACATGGTTAGTAAGCTAGGTATTAAAAAAATAATAATAATATTGTACAACTTAAATGAAATTCAAAAAGTTATAACATAAATGCATTACCATCCCTTAGTTGAGTGAATTCCATTAACTTTTTTGGTGGGATCTATTCATTCAACACTAATCCAAAAGATGATATACATTTGAGTTGTAATTTCTGGGGTTTTATTTGGGTTGTATAACATTTTTCAAAGAGCAATATTATGCTTATCAAATCTTTTACCAAATTCTATATCTCAAATCGCGGGTGAGTAGTTGGATCAGTGGGATCTACTGACCTCATTAAATATTCAATGCATAAAATTTTGATACATTATTTAAGATATGAGATTTGATAGAGATACCCCCTCCTTATCCATGGCACCACCATGCATGCCTTATCACCAATGGCCGGTACGGACTGGCAAACGAGCTACAAGTTGTTGAGACTATGTCAGGGATGAATATCCAAGAATGAGAGTTTTATATATGAAGAAATATTTGTTTGGTAGGAAAGAGAAAGATGGATAAGTCCATTAATGCATGTCCTTAGCAAGAAAGGGTACAAAAATTAATGCATAATAAAACACAAAATCACTCATTATCTTTCTGATCAGGAAAAACAACAAGAAGAAGGAGCATAAAGAAAAACAACAGAGGTGGGAAGTTGGATCAACTTCAGATAAAACTTGCTATATAACTGATAATTTGACAAGGACTTTGGAACCAATTGAATGTGACGTTGTTAAACATTCATTTGTTGATATGTTCGCCCAAAAAACAAAAAAAAAGGATTAAAATCGACAACAAATGGCCGGTCCTGGGTGGCAAACTAGCTGCAAGAGTTGTTGAGACCACATTAGGAATTGAATATCCAAGAAATGAAAGTTTTACGTGAAGGAATTTTTGTTTGGTAGGTAGGAGAAAGATGGATATATAAGTCCATTAATGCATGTGCTTAGTAAGAAAGGGAACAAAAATTAAGATATGAATATATTCCACACTCATTATAATACATTGTCTTCATCAATCATCACCAAATATTGCATGTTATTTTTATACTTCTAGTCTCTACTCATTCATATAATGGAACTCATCTTGACAAGACAATATGTTTTTCAATTATTATTAGATGACTGGATTAGGTAGCACACGAAGACATAGTTCAGATGGCGGGAAGGAAAGACTAGTAATCGAGTTTTATTACTAGGCCTAAGATTCCTCTCAATGTAATAACATATGACACTTTTCAATTATTATTAGATGACGGGATTAGATTGGATGGCGAGAATGAAACACTAGTAATCGAGTTTATTACTAGGGCTAACATTCTTATAAATGTAATAATATATGCCGTTTTTCAATTCTTATTAGGTGACAAGATTAGCTAGCATATGAATACTTAGTTTGGATGGCGGGAATGAAACACTAGTAATCGAGTTTTATTACTAGGGCTAAGATTCTTATCAATGTAATAACATATGCCATTTTTCAATTATTATTAGATGAAAGGATTAGCTAGCACACAATACATAGTTAGAATGGCGGGAATGAAAGATTAGTGATCGAGTTTTATTAGTAGGACTAAGATTCCTATCATTGTAATAACATGTGCCATTTTATTTATGTTTGTGTTTAGGGTGGGATTTTTTTTTCCTAAGAAATAATATTTATGATGAATTTAACGTAACTTGAAATACTATTGATGAATAATAATGGTGGCAAGTAGCACCCAAGACCCTAACCTTCATGAATCGATGAACTAAAATCCTAACTAAACAACATGGCCAAAATAGAATTAGACTAAAATATAAAACATTGTATTGTTTGCACTCTAGAATCGTTGACAAATGTGAAATCTAACTCTTCTAAACTATATATTAACATTTTATACAAACGACATAAGCAATGCAATTTGATCATAACATAATGAATTCCATGACAAAACAATGAGTATTTATCATCGACTCATTTATGATCGAATGACCCTGATCTTGCATGATTCTGGCTTTGCGAAGGGGCCCACGACCATCTTGGCCATACTATTGACTTTGTGTCTTTATGCTGGCCCTTGGATGCATGGTTTTGTTAAGTTGCACTTTGGCATCACATATTTTGTCTTTTGGAATGTATATACAAGAGGGAGAGAACATATGATCATTCTAATAACGAAAAAACAGTAACCCTAAGGAACAATTAAGGGAGATGAGATGGTCAACCTTAGATAAAACTTGGTATACAACAGATAATTTGGTGGGGAACTATTGTGGGGGTAATCCATTGGTACAAATCCAAAGTAGAAGAAAGAGCGAAAATTGTGATAGAAAACAAAATTGTGAAGCAAAGCACATATATAAGATGTTATCTTCGAGATAATGATTTTTCAACTATATGCAGATGAATCTTTCAAAATGTTATTCCTATTATAATAATGTCTAACCCTAAAACATTATAACATTACATTTCTTAGAACTAAACCCAAATAAAAATCAAAAAAATAAACTCAAGAAAAAAAAATTAAAAGAATATATTTAGAATACGATAAAATGACTTTGTTCTATTGACCAAGCATAACAATACTTTAAGGAACACTATATTAAATGGAGTGAGACCTTACTATTATGTGACCATTAGAAACAAGTAGTCCCTTAACTATCAATAAATAGTTAGAATATATAAAACTTTGTATCATTAATTGTAAATATCTATAAATATGTATGTATATACGACATGAACCTCAACCAAATTTAATGAGACGAGGCTAAATGTTCATTTGTTGATATGTTCGCCAAAAAAGAAAAAAAAAAGACAAAAAGGAGATTAAAAAATCCACAACCAATGGCCGTTCCAGGTTGGCAAACAAGTTGCAAGGTTATGGAGACCACGTAAGGAACGAAGATCCAAGAAATGAGAGTTTTATATGAAGGAATTTTTGTTTGGTAGGAAGGAGAAGTATGAAAAAGTCCATTGATGCATGAACTTACAAAGAAAAGAAACAAAAATAATGATCTGAATATATTCCACATCCATTATAATGCATATATAGCCCACACAACAAATACTATATATATCTTTTGAGACAAGTTTTTTATGGCAGCAATATTTATCGTCACAAAAAAGTATTTTTGAAGATTTTTTTTTTTGTAGTGATAGTTCTGTCATAAAATGTTTTTTTTTTTGCTATTGTAAATATTATTTGAGACGAGATGTTGCTCGCTATAATTTTTCTTTTTCAAAACATGTTTTTTTGTAATGATAAACCCTGCTGTCTCAAAAAATCCTAATTCTTATAGTGAATTTTTCATAGTGGAACTCATTTTCATAGAACAAAGAGGTTCTATATTATCAATTGGGATACAATTAGCTAGACAAGAAGACTTTGGGATAACTTAGTTAATGTTATTTAGAGTAACCTAGTTATTTTTCTTCATATACATTGGTTGGTCACAATTACAACGAAGAAAGCACCCGCAAGAGGAAGGTGAGAAGCCTGAAACAAGTCATAGTTGAACTGCTATAGAGGGAAACACAAGAAATCAAATCTCACTTTTGATTAAGCATAGTCGATTAAGTGGAACTCATTCATGTATATCAAGAGTATGAGATTACCACCCAAGTCTTTTTTTTTATGATGGGGAAATTCTTGGATTGTCTTCGGCTTAGTTGCTCAGCCTTGTGAGTTCAATTAAAATCGAAACTCGAGATGTATGAACTGATCCCTCAATTCGTATACTAATTAAATCAGAACTTATCCTTTGTGGTAATAACCAACCAAGTTTAGGAATGAAATATCCATTTTATTTGTGGTAATAACAATATTACCATATGATAAAGTCTTCTAGAGTGATAGGATCATTTACCCATTTCAGTAGATTAGAGCTGCATCATAGGGTTTGAAGGACATTTATTCATAATTATGGCCGGTTTTGTATATTCTAAAAAGTTTAAGGGTTAATTGTACTAAAGGTTCTCAAAGTATAAAGTTTATTTCATTCTGATCTCCAATATTTTAATTGCATCATTTTGATCCCTGAAATATTGAATATGTTTCTATGTGGTCCCTCAAGTAGATAACATTCAAATTACTAACAATTTTTTTTATCATAAACTTGTCACATGCTACTTAAATATGAGTAAAAAATAATTTGAATAGTTCTTGACAAAATATGTGTAATATGGATAGTTCTTGACCAAAATTTAGATAGTTCATAATCAAAACTATATAATTTGGATAGCTCTTTGACCAAAATTTGGATAAAAATTTGGTCAAAAGTTATTTAAATTATTTTTTTGTTCATATTTAGGTATTACAAGACAAGTTTATAATAAAAAAAAGTTATTAGTAATTTAAAAGTTGTCTGTTTAAGGGACTATATAGAAGTATATTAAATATTTCAGAGATTAAATTAATACAATTAAAATATTAGAGACTAAAATAAGTTAAACCTCGTTACGTTAGGACTCCAATGCAGTTAACTCAAAGTTTAATGGAAATAACAAGCAAATGGTTTTTTACCAAAACCAGATGCCATTTATAAGTTTGGTGACAGAGAATATCATTTAAGAACAAATGATTTTAGCTGTCATGCAGAACCAAACCTCCATACTCTAACCCCACCAACCCACTAAGTTTATGAAATTACCAATTTCGACATGCTAGCCTAAAACAAATTAGTCTTAAATTCATTATGTCTCCATAAAATTTATCTTAAAAAGTTCGAAGTTATCTCTGTCATTTTTCCATCAAATTAAGTATTTCTCAATTGATCTTCTTTGAAATTTTGGATGTTATTTAGGATTGTCTTTTAAGTAAACTATTATTAGCTTCTTGTTAATATCACGTTCGAATGACATATGTCACACCAAAAGAGTAGTGCAGGGAAAAAAAAAAAAAGGGAATGTTACGCCTACTGCACAGTGTTGTCCACTTCAAATCCTAGTCCATTTAGACCAAGCATATGCTCCCTCAGGTTTTAGTCTTATAATTAGATTCTTACTTGGTAATGTAGGGAAATAACAAAAAATACCAGACAACCATTAAAAAGGAAATAAGGCAAACAACAGATTTAGGCATTGGGTATTTGAGGCAATATTAAACCAAGCAACAAAGATAATGTGAAAGTTGGTCCGAGTTGGGTTGGATTCAAATTGGATTCGGGTTGACCGTTTAAATTGCACCCCTAGTTCTTATCATTCATTTGTCTCTTTGACGTTAGGTAATGTGAAAGTGATATGTATAACTTTTTTCCCTTATTGTGATACGTTGTCCTAAATCCTTTTTCATCCCAGCTTTTTGTCTAAAACCAAAAAAAAAAAAAAAAGAAGAGAAAAACCAAGGGACTAATTTGATAATTTATCAAACTTTCAAGAAAGGTCATGAAATATGTTAGAAGTTAGTTGAAGGTTTTAAATATATTTTTGGACCCTAAATTATGCACTTTGTGTCATTTTGGTCCTCAATTTTTGATTTGTGTCAATTTAATCTATCAACTTCTCAATTTGTGTCACGTTAGTCACAATCAAAAGGGCAATTTGCTAATATGAGATATTTGAGTGACCACACTTGATGGGTCGCTTTGGTCCCTTAAATTTACAATTTATCTCATTTTGATCATTCAAGTTCATAGTTTGCATCACATTATATAGTACCTAAAATTTTTAAAGAATGTGCCTCAAGTGCGATCGTGTGAGATGCATGTGGTGATTTCCGTTAGTGAATTCCAATTGCTTTTTTTAGTGGACCAAGGAGACAGATTAAAAAGTTGAGAGACAAAATTGATATAATTAAAAGATTGTAAACTAAAGTAACACAAAATGCATAGTTGAGGAACTAAGACATTTGACACCAAAGCCACACATTAAATTATCTTATTACGTTTACCATCCGTATTGTATATCCACAATCTATCCTAAAATTCTGAATGATTCAAAATTCTCTCAATTTATAATTCTGTCAATTTTGATAAAATTTAACCATTCGTCGCTCAATGCAACCCACATTGGGTGTCAGCATCAACAAAACACAACGATGAGAGTCAACGTTAATGAAAGACCATAAAACTTGATCGAATTGACAAAATCGAGAACTAAGAGGACTCAAATTCAATTTTGATAAAAACAACCATATATCCAAAAAAAAAAAAATTGGTTTATAACAGCTGTTTGACCTCTTTCTAGTGTCTTCATCACTGAAAACAGGGGCTAAACCTTCAATAACAGAACAAAAACTACTTTTCCACGACCAAAACCATTAAAAAAAACTCTCAATAATTGCTTCATAGTCAATACTGCCAATGCATACATCTCTTTACAGCCCAAAAATTCTTAGCTCCCAATGCAATCCCATTCATAATATTCTCCATCCAACTGTCTTCCTTTGTTTCCTCCTCATTTCTCTTTTTCTTAATGTTTTCTTTCTTTGTTCCGGGAATCTCGGTTTCATCACCTTTTTTTCTCTCTCCAAAAACCTGTAAATTTCCTATCTTTCTCTCTCTAAAACTATAGTTATGTAGTGATTAATTCATTTTTTTTTAATTACATATGAAGCACAAAGTCCATTCCTTTAACCCAACCTTATGTGCTCATCTGTCCTCACATTCCAACACACACACACAGAGACCACCACCACCAATACGAGTAGCACCAATGGCCGGCGGAGATGCCACCGCCATTACCCAGATGTCACTTCGCCTGGTGAACGATGTCGTACGGATCTCAATATCTGGGTTTACTGGCTCTTTCAAGAAAGAATGTACGGACCTCTCAAGGAGGGTGGCTCTGTTGGCCCATTTGCTGGAAGAGATTAGGGACTTAAAGGGCGACCTGGTTGCTTCATTTTCTTCCTCCAGTTCTTGCTTGTCTGATCTCACTGGAGCTATTCAGGATGCAAAACGACTGCTTTTGGCTGCCGGCAACTTCGATCCCAAGATCTCATCTGTACGTATTGTTCATTGCTCTTTGTGTTTGGTTATGTATAGACTGAATTAGGAAATGGGTAATTTGCATTTCATGTTTAGACTCAAAGGAACTATAATGGGTTGCTATTATATTGTGAATTTATTAAGTTTTTGAAGGATACAATGTAGTAGTGTTATTACAATCTGATCGGAACTATGGATGATATACCTGTTATGTGTACTGAGTTAGATTTAAAGGACGATGATGGGTTAATCAGCAAGTCTTCTATGGTGAATGTAATGATTTTTCAAGGTTGCTTTGTTGCAATCTGATCAAAGTGTGTCAAATTGCATCTTGTAGTGAGGTAGATTTGAGGTGTTGGTCTGACTTTATGGGTGACATTCTGAATTTCATTGCAATGTCGTTGAATGTGGGGTCTTTGTGATCGTCTAACCAGTATTTTGTATTGTCATCCACTGATCTGAATTTCCCAAAACATAATTACTCCTCAATATGTAAGGTTATGCTGATTGTGTAACAGGAGTCAATATCCAGAAGTGTTGTTGAATATTTGGTGTTTAGAAATGGAATTTGAATTAATCCTCTTCTTGTAATTTGGGTGCACAATTGTTGGAGGTTTTGCACAACTGAACCTCATCTGAGGAGATGTATTGATGCAGTTGACCTTTACAAACTAATCTTCATTATGTACCTAATTTTTTTGTTGTAGATCAGATAAATTCCACAAAGTAAATCACTTTATGAGTAATATATTTTCGATTAACAGGTAATTGTTTGGTTTTCTTTGAATCAATAGTCTTTGCTTGCTGTGGCTTTAGCCTTCAAGTACAGTGCTGTTACATGGTTCAAGTCCATTGCCCACTGCCAAGCTGCGGAAGGTCATGGATGTTTTTTGGAGGACCTTTTCTATCTTATCAACATATTAGTGTCAAATCCTGATGTCACTCCCTTTGACATAGCCAAACATTTCTTGCATCTAGTTATTTTAAGGGACAAATTTCATTTCCTGGTAGCTGATAGACTTACTTGGTTTTGAAAGAATTGATTTTCACAAAATACTGGATACTCTAAACCACATCTGCAGTAATATTTCAAAAGGGAAAGAGTTCCCAACTGGCTTAATTAGTAAACTGGTAAATTGGGTAATCAAGTAAACACTGGTACAGTTGGATATTCAAAAGTTAGATAAGCAGTTCTATAATTTGTGCTGTTAAGGCAAGCTTAGTCCCTATTGGTACATAATTGATTATCATCCAGTATATACTAGATTGTTGTGCCTACGGATTTACAGATTTTGAGTCATACCATTAATTTGTTTAGTGGTCATCCTTGAAGTAACAAAGATTCAATTATCATGGCAATCATCGGTTAGGTAATTCATAATGTAGTTCTTCTGCATCTGTGCGCATGCATAAAGAAACATAAGCTGCATCTCTCAAATATTATATTTCATGATTGAAGGATGGAGCTGCCAAGAAAATTACTTTTCAATTTCAATGTGTGACATGGAAACTGGAGAAAGCATTGGGAAATCTACCACACGATCATTTTAATATCTCAGAAGAAGTGCAAGAACAGGTAGGACATGACCTCTGTGTGGTAAGCTTATCTTGTTTGATCATAATATCTCAACTTTTGCCAGGTTGAATTGGTGAAAGCACAGCTGAGACGAGCCACAGAAAGACATGGTGGGCCTCTAACTCTGAGTTTACTATCTCGTGCATTGTCCCAGCCATTGAACAAAGAACTTGATCCACTACAGTCAGGAAACAGGGCAATAGGAAGCTTGCATGTGGAAAATATTGGTAATCTTGATCATGAAGTCAAAGCAAAGGTGCAAAGTATTCCAAGAGGTAGTGTTTTGAAAGGTTCTGTATCAGATCAGATGATTCATCAATTGCCAAGGCTGAGAAACTCCTCTGAGTCATGTGAGGTCTTTGTGTCAAACAATGATGATGCTAACCAGGAAGACAACTCAACCAGCAAGAATTTGGAGAAGAAGAAGAATGCTGATACTCCTGCAATTCCTGATGATTTCCTCTGCCCTATATCTCTTGAACTGATGAGGGATCCTGTCATTGTGGCCACAGGGCAGGTATTTTTTGCCATTCCCTGATGTCATTTCAACATTTTTTTTGTTTTTTCACATGACATTAATACCATGACAAACCTTGTTTCTTATAGTTGCCTTCTAATTGTATCTTTCTCTTACCCCTGCAGACTTATGAGAGATCTTACATACAGAGATGGATAGATTGTGGGAACACGACATGCCCAAAAACTCAACAGAAACTTCAAAATCTCACACTCACCCCAAATTATGTTTTGAGAAGTCTAATAACTCAGTGGTGCACAAAACATAATATTGAGCAGCCGACAGCATTGATGAATGGGAGGATTAAAAAAAGTGATGGATCATTTCGTGATGTCAGTGGGGATATAGCAGCCATTGAAGCACTAGTTCGGAAGCTTTCAAACCGGTCCATTGAGGAATGCAGGGCTGCAGTGTCAGAAATCCGATCACTTTCTAAAAGAAGCACCGATAATAGGATATTAGTGGGGGAAGCAGGAGCTATCCCAGTACTGGTTAACCTATTGACATCCGAAGACGTTTTTACGCAAGAAAATGCAGTTACTTGCATTCTCAACCTCTCTATATATGAACATAATAGGGGACTAATAATGCTTGCTGGTGCCATTCCTTCTATTGTCCAAGTCCTCAGAGCTGGAAGCATGGAAGCAAGAGAGAATGCGGCAGCAACCCTTTTTAGCTTGTCACTTGCAGATGAGAATAAAATTATTATCGGTGCATCAGGAGCAATATCGGCTTTGGTAGATTTACTCCAGAATGGAAGTGCGAGAGGAAAGAAAGATGCTGCAACAGCACTCTTTAACTTGTGTATCTATCAGGGGAACAAGGGCAGGGCTGTCAGGGCTGGGATTATTACAGCATTACTGAAAATGCTCACTGATTCGAGCAGTTGCATGGTGGATGAAGCTCTGACTATACTGTCAGTTCTTTCTAGCCACCAAGAGGCTAAGGTTGCTATTGTAAAAGCTAGCACCATACCCGTCTTGATAGACCTTTTGAGGACAGGCCTGCCCCGCAACAAAGAGAATGCATCAGCCATTTTACTTTCCCTGTGCAAGAGAGACAGTGAGAATCTTGCTTGTATAAGTAGGCTTGGTGCAGTCATACCCTTAACTGAGCTTTCCCAGAATGGCACAGATAGAGCCAAGCGAAAGGCTACTTCATTGTTGGAGCATCTCCGGAAGTCACAACAGCTCTAAGAGAAAAAAAAAAACACGCACACACACAACAGCTCTAAGAGGTGGAGTGGCACTGATGAACTTATTATTTATTTCTTTAATGCTATCTTACAATGATTGTTACACGTTTGTTTATGCGCGTGAAAAGAAACTTGAGAATTTAAGCATGAGACACAAGGCCGTTCTCATTGCTTTCGGTGTATTCGTTGACTCTATTTTTTTGTTTTTTTTACGAGTGTGAAAAATTTAATTCTGTCTGTTCAAGACATTATTTTTACGTTTGATATGTTCGTGGGACACAAATAATCAAAATAATGACCTTTATTATTGACAATTCTCATATTTATATCACTGCTGAGAACATATAGTATAGTAAGAGTGGTTGAAACCGAAGCACTAAAGTTGTTTTTGGGATCATTAATGGTACACTGACAAAATTTTGAGACCAAATCAAGAGTTTAAATGACATGACAGCTGACGTGGTCTTCTTTATGTGGTGTCATGTCATCTAGACTCCAAAAAAGACTCCAAATAATCAGGTGTCATGTCATTTAGGTTCTTGATTTAGTCTCAAAATTTAGTCAGCGTAGCATTGTGCTCCTTTTGGTACGAAAAAAAAAATAGAAGGATGAAAAGTTGGAAGAATGAAAATTTGAGGGATAAATAAAACATCATATTTGGTAAGGATGAAAAAGTCGATGGATTAACTTTTCTTCCAACTCATCAAAATCAATCTCTCAAAAATTAGAAAGAAAGTGGATGGAAAGTTAATTATTTGTGTTGAGATATATTTTATTTGTCTATATATATTATGTATATATTAATTTCATATAAAAATATAATGATAAAATATATATATATATATATATATATATATATATATATATATATATATACATATACACACACATAATTAAAATTAAAATTTTAAATTAAAAAATATTTTTGTCATCTTAATTAAGGGTGAAAATTTTCAATTCAACACGATTCGAACTCGGCACAAATTTTATGACACGAACTTGATTATAACTCGACACGAACTTAAAAATGACCTAACTAGCGAATAAGAAATATAAAAGACTCATAATTTTATGACTCAACACGAATCTGACACGACACGACTCGATTGTCAACCATAATTTTAACCATCACAAAAAAAAGTTTAAAAAAAAATTAGTAATTTTTATTTTTCATCCATCCAATCACACACAAAGAAAAGAAAGTGTATCATTCCTACTTTTCATCATTGAAGGATAAAAAGTGTATCCCTCATATTTTTCATCTTTCTTACTTTTCATCATTCCTACAAACGGAGCATTACTCTTTTTCTTAGCTTAATTAGTATGGTAAGTGTACATTTGTTCATATTGAAATGTATTATTCATAACTTTGTCTTATTGTTTTTTCCGTTTTGTATCTGCATATTAGCTTGAACATATTGCCATCATTGTTCACTGCTTTGCCTCTACTCAGAAAAGCAGAAAGCAATGCTAAAGTTTATGCTTTTCCTATTGCATGTTAATGGGTCGGATCACGATCTGGATCTGGAGTTAAATTTGAACCTCAATATAATCCTGTTGTGTTATGAATTAAGATCCTTTTTCGATTTCAAAACCCATTTAAAGGATCTGAATGTATTCAAATTTGAGCCCAAATGTGTATAGATTTGATCCGATTAAGACACAAACTCAACTAATAAAATACCATTATGCAGGTATTTGAAACTTTACTCAGATATTGACAACTGAACTAAAGGAGTGAACTAAATGAGTTGAACCATTAATCAAGTTGTGATCAAGGTGAGTTTCTTTCCTCTAAAGACATGCGACGTGAACTCTGATTCGATCTGAATATTCAATCCCGCTGCTGAGATGCTCAGTTGCCTCCTTAACTTTGATAGGAAGATGGCTTGTTCAATAATTAATGCGTAAGGGTAAGAAAAATAGAGCAAGCCCTTCAATGCAAGAAAGAAACACAAAAAATAAAACAATGAAACAAAGTTAATTTTAAAAATTACTTAAAAAATACAAAAATAAAAAGAAAGTTATGAACTCGTGGGTAGAACTTACTCTTGAAAACTGACTTACAAGAGAAGTGTGTCCAAGAGTTCATATATGTACATCTAATTTTATTTTTAATTGATGGGAGATTATAATATTCTATCATGCCGCCATAGCTGATGTCTATAGCTATCTACTCTATCGACAGTGACTCAACGGTAATATTTTTCTTTTGGGAGCTTCACTCACCTATCAGTAATAAATGAAATAACACTATACTCATACATAATACTAAATCATCTTAATCTAACTTATAGGTCGTCTCTTCTGTGACTCGACCAGAGAGCCGCAGCTTATACTGTGTTCGATCCTATTCTTGGCGTGGTGGCTAGCTAATGTTGAAAGCCTGAAACAGTTTAAAGTGCAGCACCAATAATAAAATAAACAGAAGCAACAATTTTATTTTTTTTTTGCTTTTCTCAATCTTAGTTTTTTGGTTACATAAAAGCATCCCAACTAAATAAATTTTGATATTTCTATAAAGAAAACAAAATTAGAGGTTGAATTTCTATGTATTTCCATGTATATTACATAATGAGACCGGTACAATTTCTATGCAATTTATTGGCTTATATGTTTGACAGTCTGTAACTTACGAGTGTATGAGTTGCCAAGTAGAAAAGCTCAAGCTCTCTCTCTCTCTCTCTCTCTCTCTCTCTCTCTCTCTACATGCATTGATTACCACATATAATTGATAATACATGCAATTAGGCCCCGGTAATGGGGCGGCCCAGCCCATAGCCTGCTAATGGGCCAGGCTTTTGATCTTTGACTACTCAATGGGCCGGGCCAGACCCATATGTTAAAAAATTTAAGGCCCATAGCCCATCTGTGGGTTGGCTTATTGGGCCAAAAGCGGGCTAAATACGGACTAGGCCTAAAATTTGGTTTTTTATAAAAGAAAATACTTTTTTATGTAAAAATTACAAAAAAGACATCAATTCATAAAGTTGGATATGAAAAAATAAATTAACAAAATAATTCTTTGTGTTAACTGAATTTAACAAATATTCATCAAGAGTTATAATATTACATTGATTGATGAGTAAGACAATTTTGCATCACTACTAATTGAGTTCATCTCAATTAGGTTGACATCTACACAATTGTCAATCATATGTAAGTTTCAACCTTTTAAAAATTGCATATCAAAGATTAAATATCAAATCAAGAAAACAAATATAAAATATTATTTGTTGGACTAATGGGCTTCTTAATGAAACAACCCAACGGGCTTCTTAATGGGCCAGCACGTTGGGTCCCCAGTCCAAAGAATCAGCCCATGCCCCTACCCATTGGGCTAACAAAGGCCTGTACGGGTCAGGCGTCCTATTAGCCCATTGGGTTGCCGGGCTTTGGGTGGCCTTTTGAACTTTTTACTGACGCCTACATGTAATGTAATTTATGAAGAAAGAAGTTGTCAAAATTAAAATTAAAAGACAAAAACAATAAGCTTTAATAACAAAATGTGAAAAACCTAATTTACAGTTGACGCTTTAAGCCTCAAACTATTCGAATCGGCTTGGTCATCGGGCTTTAACTTGCAACTCTCAAAATAGACAATCTTGTTTCTGCTTTGTGTCTAGAGCAGCCTTTGCAATTGAAGCATGACATGGTTACGCGAATTTGTAACATTGCACAGCCAACTCTTGACAACATGATTATCACAACCTCGTTGAGTTTGATTGAACTTCATCATCTAAGTTTAACTTAGTTATAAAGGATCTGAACTCAAACGAAAAAAAGATTGTTGATACTTTAGTGTGCAACACAAATCTAAGATGCACATAACCACCCATTAATCACGTGTGCATGTTAAAGTCAGATTTTATATGGTCTATGTACTAGCTTCAAAAAGTACACTTTACGCCTTAAAACTTATTCTGTAATAGAATGGCTCAAGTTTGACGAGCGGAACATCAAATTGGACTTGTATAGTGAATCATATCCAAATGTTCAAGATAAACTTAAACTTGGTCCCGCCAGCTTTTACTTTTATAAAGAAACTAGTCAACAATTTACAGTCATAACAATTGGTTGGTACATCAAAAGACTACAAAATTGGGTATCAAATATTTTGATAGTGTAATTACGATGCGAATTTAATAGATTTCATAACTAACAAGAAGTCAAGTCTTACGTCATGAATGGAATATCAAGTTTCAAATTCACACCGTGATTAACGTAAATCATTTTCCTTGAACAGGATTATGTAATTGTCAGATTATTGATCCCCCACGTATCCAGGGTCTAAATCTGGTTGGACCACTAGGATATAAATATATATACTAGTCATAACTTGTGCCTGAAAGTACAATAGAACATAAAATTCGAGCGCCCAAAAATTCGATCATACTATATTCAAATTTTTCAACATATGTATATTATCATATATAGATAATATTTGAAATAAAAATTATGTTAAATTATAAATTAATTAAATATTAAATGATTGAATATGTGATAGAAATGAGTGATGTGATATTTTTAGGAGAAAAATATGTAGGAGATAAAAATTTAAGTTGCTATGTATTTTATTATATAGATATATATAATATATTTCAAACTAAAATTTTAAATTCTTGTATTTTTGTGAGTCCCCAAAAAAATATTGTATTTGAGAAATGGTACGAGAATATTTTATTGAATCTTTTAAGTAAGAATGCATAAGCAATAACAATTGTGCCAAAAATAAGAGCAAAATCAAAATTTAATCAATTATGCCTTTGCTTTTGCAGCAGTTGTAGGTATATCACTATTTTTTTTTGTTCAACAGTTAGGGGTGTATGCATATCTTGATTAATCACTTTTTTGATCCGATCAAATGCAAGTCATTCAAGATTAGGATATTTATGAGGGATTAATTTCCTCATAACTTGACTCCAAGGAATTGTCAAATTTCGAACTCAAAAATTTTGAATTTATAATTCGTCTGTGTTACTATTTGAGCTATCCCTTGAGGGTTTAGGTATATACCTACTACAACACATAAATTAAGCGATCGTTGTATAATTTCTAAATTTTGATGTTATTTTATCAAAAGCTCTGGGGATGCCAATGTAAATAACCCTTGCTTGTATAAAGAAGCTAGCAACAATGTTTTACAGTCATACCGGTTGATGGGGATGCTTAAAATTTTTGGATGGTTGGGTGTGTTTGGTGAATGGATTTGATGGAAAGAAAATATTCTACTGTGATAAAATAATTAGCTAATTTCCATTGTTAACACCAAGTCAAATACCAAATGATGAATGGAATCTCAACAAAGCCACTTTCGATCCACCAATTTTGACAGGTGGTACTGCAATACAGCATCCTTGGTGCTGCCAAAAGTAGATTTAAGCTTAACCTTGTATAAAGTAAACAAAAATTTAATTCGGTATCATACCAAAATTTATAATTTTTAGGAATTAAGAATATTTCCAACCGACATGTCAAATGTGAGCCGGAGGCTCGAACAAATATTTTTGACATGCAATGTTCTTCGATGTGGCAAAGGAAATTTGATATACTGTTAAATTTAAAATCTATAATAAAAAATATGACATATTTTAATAAATTTATCTGACGATCTCAAATAGACTCATTCAACATCCATCAACATTTCTCTCAAAATCATTCACATTAAATTTCTCTCCTCCAAATCTATCATTTCTTACTTACGTTGCACTATAACTTCAAATACAAGTTATCCCTAGTATCTCATTTAATATATTAAATCCTCTAAATGTAATATTTTATTGAGTAAAAGAATGTTTAATGCAAAATCTTTCAAACAAAATTTGACATATATAATTAAATAAATTATTTTGACTTATCGGTTGGAGTACGATGAGATGAAGATGTCATATGTTATTTGTCAAATTGTCACATAAGCCTTCAAATTTAAATTTGAAAATTCAATTTTGATATTTACATTGGAGATGCTCTAAGTTATACTTTTTTGAAATAGAAGTTATAACTAGAAAAGTAATAGAAATTATAATTTTTAAAGATAAAATTACTATTTTTTGAGGTTGAAATACACTTTTTTAAAATAAAGTTACAACTAATCTGATCATATTCATGATCAATCATAATATTTTTTGGTCGATCATGTAGGACTCAATGACTTTTAATTTAAGATACACAAAAATTATATTTCACTAAATAAAATCAATTATAGAATTATACACGAAAACGTAGTTTATGTTTTTATGAGAAGGATAAAATTAGAACATTTACCAAAAATAAAAAATTGGAACAAAGGATACGGTTAATAGAGTTTAGAACTTCTTGGGAATAAATTGTAAAAATGTCACTAGCAAATACACGAGAAACATTTTTTGCTTTTCTCAATCACCGATGAATCATCGTTAATTTGTTGTCTCAACCATGTTATTTTTGAACCCATAGAACTATGACGCAAATTTCGGATGAATTCAACTATCCATTATAGATGTTAAAGCGGATTTTTTTGGTCAAAAATACTCAAAATCAGAATATACAAGTTTATGATTTGCCCCTATTCGGCTGTGGAACATTGACATCTCCTTCATCCGGGATATAATGAGAGAAAAATCGTATTTACAAGTTTGAACAGCTGAACATCGAATTGGACTTGTGTTAGTGGTCATATTCAAATGTTCGTACGTAGAAGTTGACTATGGTTTCGAAATATTTTTTTTAGTACTATACCTTTATTTCTTATATTTGTGGCTACTTGTGTAATTTCATCACTATTTATGGTACCAAAAAAGAATAATAAAAATAGTTATTACAGTAGTAGTAAAAAAATTCACAAATATGATAAAAATACCCAAAAATCTGGTAAAATACCCATAAAAGTAATAATTTTTTTGTATAGAATAAAAATAATTACCACAAATGTTATAAAAACAACCAGTAATAACAATACTTACAAAAGTTATAAATCATTCACAAAAGTGATAAATTTTTTTGTTATAAAATAATTCAAAAAAGTTAAAAAAAAAAAAACACCCTTTAAATTAGTAAATTTTAGAGATATGATACCAATTTTTTTTGTCGGTACCATTTTCAAGGTTTGATAAACACACACAGTGGACCAGCTTTTACTTTTATAAAGGAACTAGAACAATATTAACGGTCATAATCATTGACTGGTAAGAAAACAAAAGTTTGTGTAACAAATACTTTTATAAGTTTAATATTGTTGAGGATTTGTTCAATATACCAGCTTTAACACCAAGTCAACTATTACATGATGAATGGAATCTCAACAAGTTGTCGAGTCCACACCGTGATTAACGTAAGAAATTTTCATTGAACAAATAAACAAGTATTGCACTCTTTGTACCCAAAAAACAAATTACCATATAAACCATACAAAACTGAAAACTACCATCAACCTCTCTCTCTCTCTCTCTCTCTCTCTCTCTCCTGAGAATCGACGTAACATTTTATTCTTGAGGCACAGAATTATATAGGAAGATTATATTATTTTCCTACTGCATGCATTGGTTACTCATATAATTGACATTATTTGTAATAATTACATATGCAGAAAAAAGTTTTCAATATTAAAATTGATATAATCCTACCAAGTGCTCACCTCAAGTTATCTTTTTTTTTTTTTTTTTTCTCACCTCAAGTTATCAGTGAGCAACCTTCACGAACAATCTCTTCAGGCGATCGGAGATCAATCTCTAGCATCACCACATACTATCAACATAACTAAGGAAAATAAAGAGTGATTTTATGTTTACATAAAAAAAAACTAACTTAATTTACTAGTATGATGTTGTGACAATAATATAGTAATAGTATTTATTATAAAGTGTAGGACTGGACAAGCATATTTTTTTGTTTTGAGAAAACGTCAAGCAAGCAAATATTCCAAATTTGCATTCTTTCTTTGAGCTCTAACGCCTACCTTACAACTAACCCAAAAACAATGCCTTTATATATACACACATATATATTTGGTTCAACAGTCAAGAGTGTTTTGATTAATTTGTGTGTACTTCGATTAGTCCACTATCCAGTCCGATCAAAGATAAGTCATTTATGTCGGGATTAAGATATTAATGAGAGATAAATTTTTTATTGTTTGATCGTAAAAAATTGTCAAAATTTAAATTTAAGATATTTGAATTTATAATTTATTTTTATTACCAGAGTTAACCCCTTTATATTGCAATACCCACCACTCCACATAACTACTGGTCTGATAAATAGGGACCCAAAAAAAGACAACCTACCAAGAAGAGTTTCTCAGAGTTCAATTTGTAATAATCACAAGAGAATTGAGCCAAAAAGTGTGACAGAAACAACAATGGGTAACAGCTTAGGAGGAAGAAAGACAGCAAAAGTTATGAAGATCACCGGCGAAACAATCAAGTTAAAGACGCCGGTGAACGCCGGCGAGGTTGTTAAGGACTATCCAGGCCATGTTTTATTAGAATCAGACGCTGTTAAGCATTTTGGTATCAGAGCAAAGCCCTTGGAAGTTCATCAGGAGTTGAAGCCCAAAAGGCTCTATTTCCTAGTAGAATTGCCCAAGTTTATGGAAGAGAAAGGGGCGAGAAGAGTCCGTTCAGGGATTAACATGACGGCGAAAGACCGGCTCGAGAGCTTAATGCTGGGTAGCAGATCGGTATCGGACCTTTCTATCATGAGACCGAGGAGTAGTGTGGTGGAGGAGAAGAGAGAAAGATTGGAAAATGGGGCAGTGAGAATGAAAATGAGGCTTCCTAAGAAGGAAGTGGAGAGGTTGGTGAAGGAAAGCAGAGATGAGGATGAGGCAGCACAGAAGATTGTGGATCTTTGCATGGAAAATAACAACGTCGGCGGTGGCGGTGGACCCAACAAGGTCCATGGTGGTGCATTGCTGCACCAACAAGAATCCTGGAATGGTGGCCATGGAAGAGCTAAAGGGGCTCTCAAGGCTCGTGTGGTACGTTTTCTTTCAGACACTGATCCAGGTTTTTTTTTTTTTCTTATTCAACGGTCTGACAAACCATTTACGTATACCTTTATTAACATCTTTCAAAGATAAATTATTTACATCAAAATTAAAATATTTATAATAAATAAATCGATGATATCTTAACTCCAAGAAATTATAAAGATTTAAATTTACAACTCATTCTTGTTATTACGAATCCAATTTTTATAGCATGGCTAATCCTACGATACCAAAAAATTTCTGGAAGTATGCTATAGAAAGTTATTACATCTATATTATATTTTTTAAAAGTGATATAATTATTTGAAGTAAATTCATCATTTATAAAAAAAAAAAAATTATGATCGATTATGAATACTTCTTAATTAATTGTAACTTCACTTTTATCAACATTTAAAAGTTGTAATTTGATCAATCAAGACTTTTTTGATTGTAATTTTTACTTCAAAAGTTTGTAACTTAACCTTAAAAAAATTATAAATTATATAAACTTTTACCTCAAAAAATGATAAATTATAAACTTTTACATCAAAAACTTGTAATTTTGCCCTCTTTGTTTTTTTTTTTTTTAAAAAAATACTTTTAAAATAATAACAACACATGATAAGTTCCACCCACCGATAAGTACATCGGATTATTGATGTCATGGCTGAACACCCAACACCCCCCCCCCCCCAACCTCACACACCAAAATGAGAAGTCCTAGTTCGATTTCCGTGACCTAACTTCTAGTCCTTTGGTAAACATCTTGAAATTTAAATCCTTATCTAAATTTAAATTAAAAAAAAAAAGTAAAAAATTTAATTTGATATAGATCTCTTTAATAGAGAAATTTAAATTTAAAAGAAGGTAAAATATGATCATTAAATTTTTAAAAGAGTGTATAATCTTACCATTAAAAATTTAAATTTTAAAAAGGGTCCCCTTAATTTGAGTTTAATAAAAAAAATTTCTTCATTTGATATGGATATGAATAGGAAAGTATTTTAAACTTTTTTAACCTAAATTTGTTTGATCAGCAATATGTTCCACTCGCACGTGTAACACAAGTCTACCAAGGATAGACCTCAATTTCTCCGTGGGTACAACCTTTCGTCGTAGTTGGATGTGAACAACTATCAAGTCAAACGTGATTTGATTAGGGTACTAAATTTTTTTTAATATTATATTAATATTTATTTTTTGAATATTTATACCATCTTTTTGGCAAAATTTACTAATTTTTTGAGTGCCCTCATTTTTTATTTTCAGAGTAAAATTTATGACTTTTTAAAGTAAAACGTAGTTTACTATCATTTAAGATTTTTTTTTTTGCATTTTAGTAAGATACTGAAATTTAACTCTTCGGTATGATAGTTGTTTTCCTCGTATAAGACCTCTTATAACATGATAGATTTTTTAAGGGTAAGTATGAAAGGCAAAGATATCCTAAATCTTCTTCTTAAAAGGATGTTTGTGAGTAATTTTAAACACCTTGGAAATTTCCTCCTAGAGTTTTGGTCAATAACCATTGCTCTCTCTCTCTCTCTCTCTCTCTCAAAATGGCAAAATGGAGCATGAATCGTCTATTTACTAGAGGCAATGATAGGTTAAAAAAACATAATACTTCTATCTATTTATCCATAAAGGTTAGAGAGTCTTTAGAATGGTATAGACTTACCGAAAAAGTTATGTGGCGAGGGCTAAGAAAAAAAATGAGAAGAAATTATACTTGACATATTTGAGTGGAAATAACATAGTCATATACCCGAATTCTACATAATTGGCCAAAATTCTACTTAGCATATTTGGAATTGCTCTTTTTTGTTGGTTTTTCACTACATGCAGCTGACTAGACATGTGAAATGCACCTTGTTTTCCTTTTATTAGCATGAAGTTGGGAGGGAAGGGTACATTAGAACTTTTAGATAGTTAGAGAGCTTAATTGAGACAAAAAAAAAAAAAAAAGAGGACAAAATGCTAAATTGAGATTAGTTACAAAATTTGGAGGTCAAATATATATTTTTATCCTTCATGTTGCCTTATAAATACACCAATGACCCCCATACACATTTGCAGTTTTCCATTAGGATTTTTTAAGTTTTTCACAGAGGTTTAGATTGAAACTTTTAAATAGTTGGATAAGTCTTAATTATTATAAATAGAAATTAATATATATATTTTTTTAACAGAAGTCCCTTAACTTATTTTGGCTTTTTTTTTTTTTTTGCAGAAGAGAAGAGTCGGTTTTCTGCCCATAACTGAACAGAAGATTCAAGTAGCTGTGGCCTCTTAGCAGCAAAATGATCATATGTTTCAAACAAATAAAAGTGAAACAGCAACATTGCAAGATCAAATGAAGGTTTTCATTAATTTTCTGTATATAATTATATATTCCGGCAGTTCCCAGCAACCAAACAAGAGTGTCTATGTTTTGTATTTGTACAAGGAAAAAGAGAAGCTGTGAGATGCTGAGAATTAGAAGGTGTTTATTGGTTAATTATTAAGGATATGTTTTTGGAAATGACATTAGTATAATCAATTTTCAGTTTGTTCTAATCTTTCAGGCTGTTCCAACTTCCATACCGGTTCGAAAATGAAAGGGGCAAATTTCACTTTGCGCTCCGAAAGAAGACACAATTTTCAATTTGCACTCTAAAAGATTAATATTTTCACATTATACTCAAAAATATAAAAATCTTGGAATGTAATCCACAGTACTTAACTTTCGTTTATTCATCCATTTGCTTTTTGATCATGTGTGAACGTGTTTGTGTTGACTAAGTATGTGTGACTATCTCTTTTTTTAATCGAACCCACAAAGTATGTGTGACTCGACCAACTTTCTTTGATTGACATCCCAAGTTTAGCCATATTCATTTGGTTGACTTGTGTAGAAATCTATGATCATTATGAGAAACCAAGAACCGGTAATACAGTACAAAAGCATTCTTGCCCTTACTCTGGATCACTCAAACTGTTCTTCTAAACACACGACGTAGCAAATCCAGTATTACTTGATGTGATCAGCTAAACATTGGGGGATCGATCCATAAAAAGTAATCATATTCATGACCAATAACCTACAATTGTTCAATTCATAAATAAAATTTTACAAAATCACAAAAAACCAATTGAAATACCGTGATAATATTGACAAAATCAGTTGTTCAATGTCCAAAAAACATAAAACAAAAAAAAAATACTCTAATTACATAATACTTTATGAGACACATGTTGTAATGATCGATTGCTTGAAAACCAACATGTTGCTGATAGAGAGAGAGAGAGAGAGAGAGAGAACTAACCAAATAAGAAAAATGGAACCACAACTTATCTCGTTATTAGTACATGTGATAAATCTCCTTCCAAGATTTTAACTTCGTCCACGATGTCTTCGTTTTGGCCCTTCTATTACAGTAGCAAAGTGTTTGCATTTCTCCCTCTTCTTCTCCTTCTCAATCTCTCTATTTCTTCTCCCCCAAAATCAGTAGTCGTTTAGGGTGTTTGTGCAAACGATGATACTATGCAAAAATTTGAGCTCCAATTCATGTTATTTTACAAATTCACCTTTGCACCTTATCATGTGTATTGCACATGATCAAAAAATAGACGGACGAATAAATGGAAGTCAAATGGTGGACCATATTGCAAACTTTCTATTTTTTTGAGGACAAAATGTGGGACAATTAATCTATTGGGGTGCCAAGTGAGAATTTTGTCACCTTTTAGGGTGTGAAGTGTGATTTTCCCAAAATGAAAATATTTCTTCGAAATAAAAGCAGAACTGTGATCATAATATGCAGTGGCAGACTTAGGAATTGATCTTAACTAACGAAAATATGTTGCGAGGGCTCTGATCATAGGGACGGATCTAAGAATTCACCTAAAGAATGAAAGTATATAGAAAAGGAGACCATTAAAATTTAAAAAATTAACAGTAAGAGCTTGTATGCTTAGATTGTATCATTGTTAATAGCAGGGCAACAATAACGATCGATCTGCTGCCTCAACCAACCCCCCCCCCCCCTCCCAAAAAAAAAAAAAAAAACACAAACAAAAAAGAAAAAAAAAAGATCATTGAAAATACTTTTGATGAATTTTACTAAGAAGAAATACCCAACGGGAATAATAGCGGATGCAACAAGCTTTTGTGTCTACAACAGATCCTGCAGTTTTGATTGGGCAATTTTCTCTTGAAATATAGAACAAGAATGTGTATTCCACAGGGTTTATGTTTCATATAGAAGACTTAAAAGAAGATTTTAACAGAAGACAGAACCTGAGCCCCCAGGGATTAGAAGCAAGGTAATGCAAATGAGTTAAAGCAAAAACTAAACTATTCCTCCGGTTAACATAAAGCATCCAGCAACTCCTCCATTTTAGGCAGGACATCCCAAGGATAATTATGTTGTAGAATACAGTGTGGTAAAGTAAAGAATCAAAAACAGAAGAATATAGATAGTTAGGTAAGGCGCGGCACTCGCTATTTTTGAGATAGTAATTTTCTCACTTATAATGCAAATAGACTCTTTAAAATTCTACCCTCATGATACAATACCTAATTATAAGATTATCAAACATTGCATTTCTTAGTAATCTTGGAATCAAAACTCAACTTGAATAAAAAATCAAAAAATATAGAAGTTTTAAATCAAGAAAAAGAAGAATGATTAAATTGTTGATACTTTATTCTTACATTTGAACTCTATTTATAGTGTTCTATACATCTCTTAATAAAGGAGTGTAACCCTTCAAAACTATGGCAGAAGACACCTCTTGAAAAGGCTGCAATAATATAGTCGTTAGAGACTAATTTCAAACAGAATATCTGTCACGTTCAAACAAGATTATCATGTTCGAATGTACTCAACTTTCAATATTTTGATTTTGAAACTTTTGCTAAAGTACTGAGAGCAAGTCACATTCGAACTTGGGTTGCGTTCAAACGAACCGAAGTCTCAATATCAGAAACTGAGATTTTGAAAAAGTACTAGGAGTAAAGCACATTCAAACGTTGCTTGCGTTCGAATGTCGCCTCCCTCCTTTTATTTCTTCTTCTATATATTTATATACATGTACAAAATTATCTCGTTATGTAGGCTTCTTCTGTAAGAGGATTCCTTGAAACCTTGAGTGGAGAATGAAGTTCTTCCTCTATTTATAGATAAAGATGAATCCATGAAGAACCTTCAAGAAGCAATGTGAGATTCATGTCTTTGCCCTCCAACTCATATACTTCAAATTTTTTGGAAAGAAGTGAAAATTTCACTTTTTCACCAATTTCAATTTAGAAAGTACTATTGTACTTTATATATATATACTAGTCATGACTCGTGTTTGAAGACACGAAGGAACATAAAATTTGAGCATCAAAAAAATCAATCTCATTATATTAAATTTTTTCAACAAGTGTACACTATCAAATATGGATAATGTTTAAAATAAAAATTATGTTAAATTACAAATTAATCAAATAGTAAATGATTGAACATGTAATAGAAATGAATGATGTGATATTTTTAGAGGGAAAAATATGTAATGATAAAAATTTAAGTTGCTATGTGTTTTATTATATAAATATACTCTTATATGTCAATGTATTTAATGTTTATGATAATTCATGCAAATGATGTTTTATTAATCAATATATCACTACTAGTTATTGCATGTGCCTAAAGGCACAGAGTAATAAAAAAATGATAAACAATAAACATATTTGTATTCATATTCAAAATCAAATCACAAACATAGAGAAGAGATAAAGTAATTTAAACATCGTTTTGTAATGGGGGTGAGAGGTGGTGGGCGGTAGTGGTGGTGGTAGGAGACGATGATGGTTGTGGTGGGTAGTAATAATCGTGGTGGCAGCGAGGGTGACGGTGATGGTAGTGGCGGCGACAACAGCGGTGGTGACAGTAGTAGCGGCGACTGCGGTGGGGACAACGGCGGAGGCGGCAATGGTGGTGACGGCGACGACAGCGCCGGTGGTGGCGGCGGCAGTGGTGGCGGGGGGTGACGGTGACGGTGGCAGTGGCGATGGTGGTAGTGGTGGCGGCGGTGGACGCGGTGGTGGTGACGGCTATTGTGGTGGCAGGGGTGGTGGGTGAAGGTAGTGGTGAGGCGGTTTCAAACACTATTTTTTAAAAAATAATATTTTTGAAAAATAATTTCTAGAAATACTTTTAAAAAGTCACTGTAAACACATTCTTAGGGGCCTATTTTTCGTATTAAATTTAGGGTGTTAATATTAGTCGTTAGTTTAATTTTAAAGTGAAATTTAAAACGATTTCAACCACGAATAGTATAATTCATTTTGTTTATCTTTTGAAATTTAAATTGTAAACTATTTTATTATATAGATTATTAATTAACTAGTTATTGCATGTGTCTAAAGGCACAGAGTAATAAAAAATTATAAACAATAAACTCATTTGTATTCATATTTAAAATCAAATCACAAATAAAAATAAGAGATAAATGAATTTAAGTATCGATTTATAGTGGGGGTGAGAGGTGGTGGGTAGCAGTGGTGGTGGTAGGAAACGGTGATGGTTGTGGTGGGTGGCAATGACCGTGGTGGTAGTAGTGGTAGCGGCGATGGTGGAGGCGGTGGCAACGGTGGTGGTGCTGGCGACAGTGATGGTGGTGGTGGTAAGGGGTGGCGGTGGGTGGAGGTGGTGATGGTGGCAGTGGAGGCAGTGGTGACGATAGTGGCGGTGGTGGTGGTGGGGATAGTGGTGGTGGTAGCGGCAATGATGGTGGAAGTGGTGATAATGGTGGTGGCGACGACAGGGGCGAGGTGGTGGTGGTGGTGGCGACAGGGGGGATGGTGGTGTTGGCGGCAACTACAGTGGTGGTGGCAAGGGCGGTGGGGGTAGCGACGGTGGTGACTGCGGCAACGGTGGTGGTGGTGGTGGCGGGGGTAATGGTGGTGGTGGCGAATGGTGGTGGTGGCGAATGGTGGTGGCGACGATGACGACAACAGTGGTGGTGGCAGTGGCGATAGTGGTGCTGGCAGCGGTGGCGACGGTGGTGGTAGTAGCGGCGCTGGTGGTGAAGGTAGCGGTGGTAGAGACGGTGGGGGTAGTAGAGGTAGTAGTGAAGCGGTTTCAAACATTTTTATTTAAAGTATTGAAAAGAAATAATTTCTAAAAGTATTATTAAAAAATTATTTCAAACACACCCTTAAGGAGCCTATTTTTCTTATTAAATTTAAGGTGTTAATATTAGCTGTTAGATTAACTTTAAATTAAAATTTAAAGCGATCTTAACCGTGAATAGCAAAAATTATTTTATTTATCTTTTGAAATTTGAATTATAAGGTACCTTATTATATAGATTATTAACAAATTATTATCCCAATCATAGTTAGACGTAAAATGGGAGATTAGAATGGATGATAGTCTTGTCTCGTTTAATCTCATGTTTTATCTCTCCTCCATTATGTAATCTAGTCCCTGTTGTTTTAATACGGCATCCAAACCAGCCCATGTTATTAAGTTTTCTTATGATTGCAAGCCACATATAGAGAGAGATGTCTCTCATTTAATCTCATGTTTTATCTCTCCTCAATTACATAATCTAGTTCCCGTTGTTTTAGTATGGCATCCAGACCAGCCCATCGTATTAAGTTTCCTTATGTGTGTGTGTGAGAGAGAGAGAGAGAGACCACCATACCCACCTTTGTCCTCAGTTTTACCTTTGACAGTAAAGATCAAACTTCCTCCACTAACCATCCTCATGGAACTATATGAAAGATATTGAAAAAATTACTGATGGTACCATTAATTGACAGACTTGATTACAATACCAACAAGTCTGCTTTTAGAATGGAGAAGAAAAAGTACAAGTCAATTTGAAGGAACAAACATGGCATAATACTTTTCTTGCAGCACTTCAAGATGCTATCTAGCTAACAGAAAGTTCAACCTTTCTGATCTGGAATCTTTATAATCAAGTTTAATCACTTACTCTGCCTCCTTCAAGACTGTTGTAACTTCAAAAGTTGCTCCAAATTTTCTTTTTCTTTTTCTTTTTTTAATAAAACAGAAGAAGAAAAAAAAAGAGAGGTAACTCCACAAAAGACTCATCCACATACACAGAACAAGTTCAAGCCATCCTTTTGACCCCATATTCCAACCAAAAAAAATTCATTAAAGGTATGCTCCGCAGGAAGTGAAGTGAAAGGATTTTCTTCAAAGAAACTAGTTCACAAATACAAAAATACAAAGGAAGCCCTACAAGGGATCTTTGTTCCCTACTTATGTATAAACCTATTATTGGGGCTGATTATGGCCACATTCAGCAGAAAACAACGAGCCAATTACGGCAAGAGATCCACCCCTTCATCTTTCTGCAATAACAGTTGTTTCCCCTTATTAACAGGTAATCTGCAAATCAATGATGCAGTTTATGATGACCACTGATCAGGCACTGTAAGAAAATAGGTCGTCATTGCTTTTCGGAATCGTTTCTTGTATTGTTTCGGAGAAATAATTGTTGGGGCAGCGTTCTTCGGTCCACCAAGTATCCCAGAAGCTTTTACCCATGTTTCCAAATGCTTGTCCCAAGTGTATTGTCTCATGAAATCAATGATGCCCACAACCAGCTCCTTGCGCTCATCGTCCACCCCAACCAGCAAGGAATAATCCATGACATCAACGGACTGCAACAGCACTAGAAAATTTAATGGTCCTCATCTAGAACAAATATATGACCATATTGCACAAGTCAAATGCCTAATATCTCATGACACTAGTGCACCCAATCCAAGTATCCAACAATTACTGAGGTGTCGACGTTCTTATCTCTTTTGTGCCATTTCTCTATTTCATATCTAATGAATTTCAACAAAACTAGAACAACTGGGGGCAAGTTTCTATGATCACCCAAGAAGATTCTAAAATTACATTCATCCTCCCCATCTACTAACAGTCACTACCCTAAATGCAGAAAGTGATGCATCCATTCACAATGTTAGCCTAATCTGATGACATGTGATTATGTTCATAACAGGAAAAAAGTGCTAGTGACTATTAATAGGTTTAAAAACATTTGATGGAAAAAATATTTAAAATTCACAGTGGTAGCCTATAGCTTGTAAAACTTGATCATTGTTTGCATCACAAAATGGTAGCCCAGTGCACAAGGCTTCCGGCTTTGCGATGTCTGTGGAGGGGTCAGATGTATGCAACTTCACCCCAAAATGCGAAGAGGCTATTTGCGTGACTCAACTCATGACATCCAAGAGCAACATATATATATACTTTATTTGAGGTAACCTCATCCATTGATAATGCAAAAGGGAAATAAAAAAGTAGCAATCCCATAGAAAATCAAATAGAGTCGAGAGAGTGGGGACGGTATGTGAAAGTTTTGGAAACCTGAAGAAGGACCATATCGTATGAGACATATCAATATTGTCTACCATTGGTGTCAAAAAAAATTTCGACCAAATTTTGAAATCCTAAGAGATTGACACAAGTTGGATGCTAAAACTGCTTACCGCTAAGAAAGATGTATCATTCCAAACAGCTCTCTCGAGACTTCTCTTTGCCTTGCCTCCAAGAAATATGGGTTTAGTACGCAGTGTTTCCAAGAGATTCAAGTCTAGTAGTACTTTGTTTGTCCCTGTTGCATCTGCATTGTAACGAGATCTCACAGACCCTTTAAGATCATAGACCCTAGAGATACTTCTTTTGAAAAAGAGGTTCTCCATCACCATCAAATCCATTTTTGTTTCCTTGCCACCTTTCATGTGTTTGATAGTGACCTAACATTAGAACAAAGTGTCAGAATCACAAGAATACAAGAGTTAATCCACTACCACCCCTTCCCCAGTAACACACAATTCAAAAGGCACACGAGAAATAAGCCCTAACCTGATATATGCCTAGAACTTTAGCAAGGCAAGTTGGACTCCCTGAGCTAATAGAATCTGTCAAATATTTGAAGTATTCAGGTGCAAATTCTTCAAAAGACTCCAACTCAGTCTTTGTCACTCGCTTGATAACGAATCTTTCATCCAATGACTTGGCAAAATAAACGTTGCTCTTTCCCCCTTGTGCACTCCATCTCTTGCATCGGCTCAAAGAACTCACAAAATCCACTTCGCCAGGGCAACATTTCTTTCTAAGAGCATCAAATTGCCTTGCAAAATAAGAGGTGACAGAAAACTTCACCTTTCCCCCGGCATATGAAGACTCAACTTCAAAAGAAATTCTAAAATGAGAACTCTTGGGATCTGTAAACAGGGCACCTATTGTCGTTGAAGTTTCTTCGGATCCATAACTTCTATAATCCAAGCCCAGAGAGCCAAAAGATTGCCAGGATGAAAAGTTAGAAGGTTTAGAATTCTCCTCATTAGCGTCACTAGCATTGCAGACTTCAGGTCCATTCAGCTTATTAGAAATCCAGTCTTCATACTCCTTGGAACTAATGGCGTAGGATATTATGGAAGTGGGTTCATCCTCATAAACAATAATAACTAAATTATTTTGGCCATTTTGTGGAAGCATCAACGATGCCCCTTCAGGCAAAAGAGATACAGAAGAGATAAAAGAGGGTGAGGTACTCTGCAAAAGATTCAACTTCTGGGTTTTGCGAGGCGATATTTGAGGATAAGGCCGTTGTATATTGGAAACGGGATCCCTGAGCATATTGCTGTAGACCCCAGAAGCATGAAAAGATCGAAGTGTCAACAAACGTAATGTAGAGGGGGGCAGTCCTTTCCTGATTCTTTCTTGAATTCTCACTGCAGAATCAAATGAATAAACTCTGGTCGGTGGCATTAGCCTTCTAAAAGGCGGATTATCATTTTGGTTTATCTGGCTAAGCTTAGTAGCTTCAGGTCCTTCCGCCTCCAGCATATGAAGCAACTGAGTTTTCAATGATGGTGGATCTGTACCAGTCCATAATGAATCTATTTTGTCGGACAGAGTGGCCGCAGCCGAGGGGAGGCATTCCAAGAATGTACTACTGGTAACTGCAATTTCCCCCTCCGCATGCAATTCCTTCTCTTTGTTATTCTGGCAGGAGATTGACATGGAGTCTTCCGGGACACTAGGTTCGGATGGTGATGCTTTAGGCTCCTGTTCAGAAAGTATATCTTTCCTGGGAAACTCAGGTAATCTTGAAACCCCAGCTGCATTTTCTTCATCACCACAGTCAGGACTGCCATCCTTGACAGATGGATCACTTCTCCCATCTTTCGGCTCAGCGTAAGATGCAGCATCCTCTCTAACCTTAGAACTAGAACTCCTTGTTTTAAGGAGAGAATCTAATGTATGTAGCCGATGATCCCAAACCTGTGAACCAATCAGAAGAGAATGTCTCAAACTATTAAGTTCAAGAATGTCTAGGACTGCCTGGCCTGATTCTGCAGCCTCTTCATCAGCTGGTTGAAGCACATTCTGTTCAAACAAATGGAAACAGGTCAGAGATAAATGAACGCACCACTCAAGCATCAGTAAATGATAATTCGTACCAGAAGAACAATACAAGGGTCCTGTGTACCAGGGACCTATTGAAAGTTGTAGTATACGTGAATTCAAGTTTTTTCGGTAAGTGTGAATCTCAAGTTCGCACTTACCTTGTAGTCACTTTTCTCTTTCAAAAGCAAGCCTTTCAACTCCTTGATGTGGTTACATAACTCACTTATATCACATGCTTCATGTCCAAAAGATGTGCTTTTCTCCTCAGTGCTGCAAAGTACACCCAATATCTCCATGTACAAGGCTTCCATCTTACAAAGAAGCTGACAATGGCAAAACGCAGAAGGTTATTATATAGATTTTTCAAAAACGAGTTATAAAATTATGTAAAATTTAGCAACATTCCATGGAAATCATAGAAATAGCATTTTGTTTGCTATCAAGCACCTCAGCTGCCTCTTTTCTAATCCAGTCCTGTTGAACATGACCATTGAACTCGAGTACTGATGGGGGCAAGCGGATGGAAAGAATATCAATGGGAGAATACCGAAAGAATGCAACCATACTCCCAAATCTGTTAAAGCAAGCAAGAAATTGGTGAGCACTACCATTACACAAAACAAGTAGATGAAGCATCCACATCATTACACCCAACATTATGAAAATCAAAGCAGTTTCTAAACTAAAAGCAAGTACCCATAGTAACGAAGACAGTCCCTTTGTAGAGAATGACCACAACTAGCAATTCGATTAGCAGTTGCATGGTTTGAAAAACCAAGTTCCAAAAATTTCCCAAACGAAAGTCCCCAAGCAGCATCAGACATGATCACTCTGCGGGTTGCCGGTGGAACTCCATCTACAGGTGCACACTTGAGACATCGGTGCCACATCCATATTTTTCCATCCTGCTCCCCAGGTAGCTTCACCAAAGGAAGGCGTCTAACATTGATCATGAGATTTCCCTGCTGATGGGTGTAACATATGACATGGGCTTCGGCTGGCTCATTACATGATTGACAGCAATATGTCTGGCAACAAAAATTGCAATGAACTTGTAAATCCCAAAATAGTAACACTTCCCCAACCATAGATGACAAAAAACAAAGGTTACCTGATCAAAGAGATCATCTCGAAGATACCTTCCAAGTGGCTTATCGAAACAGCCATAGAACTTGATGCGGAGGAGTCGAGAGCGTTCACATACAGTTCCATTTAGCACACAACGGCTAGAAAAAGATACTAATATGCTCTGGTGACTTTCAGTGGCTGAATAGTACTCACTAGAGGCTCCAATTTCATTAAGTTTTTCCATCTTAGCCGCTTCAGCATGTTTCCTTGTTTGCCTCTCCTCTTGACCCATAGTTTCCACAGACTCGTCCGCGGTAGTATTTGTGATCTCAGAAGGAAGCACAGCAGGCCTCAAATCCTCCAAAGCCACATTAAATATATTACTACTGGGTGCAGCAGATAATGCAATGTCTGCTCCGCCCTTTCTGAGAGTAAGAGAAGAATCATGATTCGGGTTTTGATCCTCAGATGAAAATTCCTGCTCTGTTAACTCCAAATCGAGACCTCTTTCATTGAATTCCAGGATATCAGCAACTTCATAACTGCTGGGAACAATAGAATTAGGGATAACTGAAATGGCATTATTAGCAGTTGTCCTCTCTGGTATGGCAATAGATGTTTTTAATGACATTTTAGGTAGACTGGCGCCCTCATCAGCGAGAAAGGAAGTCTCCAGAGATAAATGGTATGCTGCAAACACTGCATATTGAACAACATGTTTAACCTTCTTTAGCTCTTCACGACATAGACCCCTCAGTAGGACCTGCAAAAAGCCATAGACATAGCATAAGGACAAGATGACATCAGTATCATCATCCAATTTGGTCACTGTCAATCAAGAATGTTTTTTGTGCATTATAGTTAAAAAAAAAAAAAACACAGTCGTTTCATGTAAAATAAAATGTTTGGCAACTAAAACAAAAACGTGTAAAATGACAGCCACGCGACAGGGGGCTACATTATTGGGAAAATATGATAAGTATGACAAATACATTCCCCACCCCTCACCCTAATTCCCCAAGACAACAAAGAAAAAAGAAAGAAATTAATCTTTGGCATTACATGGACAAAGTTTTTACGCTCATCAGTCGAAGTGAACCAAATTTAGCAGATCCTTTAACCGAAGAAAAGGTTAAAAAACACTATATTCATACTCGCCTTTCAGACATTTAATGAGTCAGTAGCGTTTAAAAGGTGAAAGCAAGATGGGAGCCATTATCCATTAGGAATTGAGAAATAAGCTTTTCAAGTTTGAAAAAAAAATGAGAACGAGTGATAACCATGATAGTGAAACATAAAATAGATTATCAGGGTTATAGGGAAAATCAACTGATATTGTAAAACTAGGAACCTTGTAGGCATATGCCTCACGTGCTCTTTAACGCCTTGAGGCATTTTCCAAGGACTTGCCACGCGGCAAGCCTTAAGAATGCTTTTAAAAAAAATGAGAGCAAGTAAGAAAGACAATAAATATGTTTCTGTATGAGATGCCAAGCACACTACACTAGAATGAAGTAGTTGAAGCCCAAACGGCCGTGGGCGAACAGACTCCAAACTCATAATGAACGGCCAATGCCAAGTGAAATCAACACCAAGTAAACGGAACAGAAGACAATTTTCTGCACTTTTCTGCAGCATCACATGCTAATACCCTCAAACTATGCTCCAATAACTTCACCATATTTAAAAATAACACATAGGAACAGTTAATCTATGGATATACAAAGATGACATCTGCTTCATATTTTTTATAGCTGCTTTAGTCCTAATGTGTTTGGGGTCGGCTAAATGAGTCCGTCTTCATTATTCATTTCAATCATACGCTATATGCTCATTTAAATTAAATATTTTCATATATTTTCTTATTATTTCGTTCAATATTAATTTAGATCTACCCTTACTTCTAGTACCATTAATTCCATTCAAACAAAGGGAAAGAACAAATTCATAGAAAAGCTTGTTTTTCTCAATATCATGGGAATGTGATCTACTTTTTGAATAAAATTTGATATAAACTTGAGGATCTTGATTGAAGAAGAGGAGCAAAAAGATATAGCACATGGATGTGCACACTGCATGTGGAACATAAAAGTTAGGACATGCAGAATCGACTCTGTCACAGCAAGAAACATTATGGAGACAGAGACAACGGAGGTCATTTGAGAGGTAGAAAGCAATTGCACATCAAACCAGGCGCAAGACAAGGAGTCTAACAAAGAGAGAAGAAAAAGAAGAAACGAGGAGAAGAGAAGAGAAGAATGCTCCGAAAGAAGAGAGAAAAATTAAGAAAAGACAAAAAAAAATAAAATTAAATGCTCAATTCATTATTCAAATCTCCATTTACTAATGGAAAAGAGCTCATGAACTGAATCAATTGTCAAGATATAGAACAAAATAAGTGCATGCCAGCATAATTCAATTACATCATCTGTAAGACAATCATCTTTTTTCAGATTCTCATCTTTACCAAATTTCTATGCAATCAAAGACTACATGGATTGGCATATACATTACCGTGCAACCTAAACGCCTGGGACAACCTTCAAAAAACATCAAGGTTTTGGATGGCTTCTTGCTGAACTGATTGGCAGGCTCATGTTCTTCTAACATTTTTTCTAACCGGAAAAGTTCACAATGTCCCAATCGTGTTGTAGAAATATTATCAATTGATGGAGTTATAAGAGCACCAGTGCACTTGGCTATCCGCTCCAATAGTGGTCTTCTAACATTTAACACCAAAGAGATATCCTTTGCTAGTAGATACTCTTGGGCATATGAAGATACACTTTTCTCGACGAGCAACACGTTTGGACGATGGGCCTCTATCTTTGAAACAATCATCTTCAGATGATCAATTTCCTGTGTAGAAAAAAAATCCATGAATTCATACCAAAAAGCTCTGTGCTCACCACAAAAACAAATGACTTATTTAGGAAAGAACCTGCTGCAATAAGGCATCAAAAGATGCCAGTTGATTTGGTACTCTTTGGTACTCCAGTGCTCCTCCTAAAAGAAGCAATCTAGCATTTCTGTATTGAGAAGTCATGCGCTTGTGTTTTATATTTTTTGTGCAAACTACTCCTTTAATAAGTGTGCTGCATAAAAAAAGAAATAATTCATTAATCGGTAAGTAGCTTCAAGAGCCAGGACATTGATCAGCGCAAAAGAGAATATGGAGTACCTAAATATGGAGTTACTAACAAAAGTAAAATGGGAGGAGTATTTTACCTCTCCCTAGGACTTCCTGATGCTATACATTTAACTTTCACATAATCACTGGGATCCATACTGCCTCCTCTACTAGTATCTGGTTTCACAAAGTTTGCAGCTTGCCATGATATAGTCGTAACTATGTCAAGCCAGTCTTCTGCGCTGTTTTCTTTGCCAACCTCAATACCCTCCACTTGTAACAACTGTGACACAAGGGCCCTAAAATGCCCTTGTACCACGATTCTCAAAGGTTCCTTATGATCTTCCTTTGGTTTCTCCTTTGCTGGGAACATGCTAACAAGGCTACTGCTAGATGAAAAAATCGCACCTGGCTCTCCAATATCATCATCCTCATCATCATATGCAAAGAAATTGTTTTCTGCCTCATCATCTTCATCCTCAGCCGGAGGAGGAAACCAAATGAGACCGTTGTTTTCAAAATCCAAAGGCTTTTGGAACTTCCCACATTGGTCCTGGAATATCGACAAATTATCAGCAGAATCATCAGCATTGTCTGGATCCAAAGCCACTGTCCCCAGCCTTTTTGAAACAGCCATAGGTTCTTGTTCAAAGGTACCATCATTTTGAGACCTTGGGGTTCCCCCCACCTGTTGCTGTAGAGAATGCCCAGCTCTATTGGAATTAATGTAAACCCTAGAGGGGCTGTCCGAAGGACTTGACCCAACAGACTTAAAGCTGTAAAACTCGTGCATACCAGCAACACAACTTGAATCTATATCTGAAGTATCATGACAAAATTCACTTGATGGGCTGTAAAAGTGATTTGTGGAATCCTCTCCCTCCTCTTCATCACTCCTACAATCATTGACATCTAATCAATGCTCCTTTACTAAAGAAAGCAGTAAGTACTTGAACTAAGAGGAGTTTTTAGAGACAGGAAATTAAAAGATCCCACTCATGGACTCCAAAGATTAGAAGACACCAGTTGGTCGTTTATTATAACTGTTTCCAACATTACAGCAAAAGAATTCAGTAGCGAAACAAATATAGGAATGCCAAACTTACATGACAAATTTACAGTTAAATAAGTAAAATTTAGACTGTATGCCAGAAAACATGACACGATTGCATATCAATACAATCTTTGAATTTCCTCCATCGCATAGACACATAATTCAACCACAATACCATCCTACATCAATAAGCAAACAATATAAAGATCTTGTAACTTGGAAACATTTAACTGGATGCCAAATCTCGCTATGTACCTGCTAGAAGAAGGACGAACAGACACTGGGGATGTTTGACTGGTAAATGATGTAATACTACTTCTGGTCAGAGCATAGAGCGAATAACCATCAAATCTGTCACTACTGAAACTTGGCGATGGTGGCTCAGGGCTTTGTCGGGGAGACTCTGAAGGATAGATTTTATCACTGTACTTCCCTTCACCACTGTGCCTAATATTAACATCGGAGCAAGACTGGCAGGATTTAATATTAAGCCCAGCTTCTGTCATGCTTTTCAGTTCACCGGATGTAACAACGCCCAAAGAGGCATCGCCTGGAATGCAATTTCTACACAGTACGCGACCACAGCTTTGGCAGTGGTACTTGATGCAAGATTCTGTATAATACATTTCACACTCTGCACACATTTTGCAGTCATTATCAGCCATTCCGAATTCACCCGACATAGAAGTTAGATCACCGTTTCCCCAAGAAATCCAAGATCTAAACTTCTCTATCAAACCTACTTTGGAACTTTCAGATACTCCCATATACTGCAATGATCCACCGAGTACCACCACCAATTCCACCTCCAAGCGAAAAATATATCACCCTTCTTATCCCCCTAATCCAAAAACTAAGCTACCAAAACTCTACAATTCAACTGAGTTCAGTCCTCCGAATCAAAAAAAAGGGAGAGTTTGTTGATCATCAGAATCAAAAAAGATCAATCCACAAGAAAAAAGGTGGGGGGGGTTTGGTTTTCAACGAGGCATACAAGATATGTTGATTATAATTCTTATCTTGTGTTGGAAAATGAGTAAGATTTCAAGGGGGTAATGGAAAAAAATCCCTCCTGGAATCACAAACTAATGAAAAGGAGGAAATAGATGGTTTACCATTATTCACAGAAATCTGGGTGTATTTACACTGAATCCTCTTGCTATAATGACACAAGCACAACAAATCTAACAAAAATAGTATGGATTTTTTTTCCTATCAGTAAATGGCAGCAATCAAGAAGAACAAGAGACTCTCAAAACCTGACCACAGCTAACCAATCCCCGAATCATCAAGAGTTAATCCAAAGATCAAATTGACCATAACCAAAACAAGATCCAGAGCTTAAGCACCAAGAAAAAAAAGTCTCAGATCAAAATTCCATAGATTTTTCTCAATCAAACAGTTTAAACCAAAAACTCCAACACAATATTAAGCCAAAGAAACAACACCACCCACTAAAAAGTTCTTGTTTTCAAAAGAAAAAGGGTCAGTCACAAAAACCCAGATCAAGAAAATCAAGAAAAGGTGTGAGTATAGCAAATACCATGTATATATAACTAGCTATATGAGAGAAAATTAAAATAGAAATCTAAATAACAAAGAGTATGAGAATGAAAAGAAGGAAAAGGAAGAGTACGGAAAACGTTCCCTTTCTATTGGAATGATTATTTATGGCTCGCATCTCCATGAATACCATCTGCTTCTTCTTCAACAGCAAGAACAACAATATCTCTTTCTTTCCCTTCTTTCCCGGCAATGCTTTCATTATCACTCCTCAACAACATTAAAAAAAAGTAAATACACATATGGGTATAATATTTCTTTCTCTCTCTAACTTTCTTTTGCTATCAACTTTATCCTTCTCTGGGTTTATGTCAATGAAAATGAAACACTTTCTCTTTTCTCTTTTTCTCTGATTGGTTAGCATGAAGACAACTAAATTGGTGGGTTCTGATTAATTAATGAAGGTTTTTGCATTAAATAATTACGGTTCATAGGTCTGGATTGATTATTTTGATATGGGTATTGAAAGTTTTCATCAACCATTAGTCAGAAACAGTGTATGGAATTTAAAAGTATTTTGGCTGCTCAAGCCAGCAGCAGACAGCGTATTAGGTTTGTAGAATGGAGTCTATATTTTTGTACTGGGAAATTCAACCACTTCCAGAATAAGCGCGTGGTTTTCGCGCTGGGTTCGCTTCATAAGGAGGGAAAAAAATCAAGGGAGTGTTTGGTTGATGAGTTTAAGGGAATTTTGTCGAAATAGTTCAATACATCACTTTATTCTTTATGGTTGTATATTATAGACATGTGATTTGAATCTCAGCCCGTAATAAGCCCACAAATAAAACCCATGGATAAAGGTTTCACTAAACCCATGGGAAGGGGTGGATTTAAGCAATTTCATAGCAAATATATTGATTAGTCAATAAATTTTATGTGTATTTATGGCACTTATCAAACATGGGATTAGATATAATACATTTTTCAATCTCATGAACAAAACCTAAGAGTTGGATTTAGATGGGTTTCGTAAATCTAATCAAATCCCTAACTTAAAAATCATTCAAACAAATACTATATGTATCAAAGATATCACATCACTATCATTTCGTAGTGTCACCAACTAATAATGTATAAACATATTGAATGAGTGGAATTTTATCGAATTTTATAGCCACCAATAATACGATGATGATAACATAATATAACATTACGTACAACTTTGTCACCACCATCCCTTGGATCCCCTATGAAGGATTTTATCTGGGTCCAGCATGGTGCTTAATCAATTTTAGAATTTATTTCATTTTTGCTCCCGCAAAAAAGTTAAAAAAAAAAATAAAATTATGGATAGTCATGTAATTTAACAACTCTTTATGGGTTACTTTTGTATATGTCAAAAATAATTTTATAAGCAAAAAACAACTCCAAGACTTCGTCTGTCCCTTTTTTTTAGGCGACTTGAAATTTTGTTCTTTCTCCATCTCAGAGGTTGTCACGTCGACTCGCCATTTTTAACAATTTTAGGCTTGAGCTCTTCGACAATTGAATCGCTTCCCCAATCGTTCAAGCTCTTCAAGTATTTCAAAAGACTCTATCTAAATTTTTTATCGTTCTTTTATTCGAGGCTTCAAACTTTTTGATTGTATAATCGAATGAAAGAGATCAATAGATGAAAGATTGTTTGGCTATATAGTAAAGAGAAGAAAATTTCTAATGTCATTTTTGTGTAAATGCCATGATAACTTATATATATATATATATATATATATATATATGCCTCCAATTGGCATTCTTTTGAAGAAAGTGTATGCAGGAAAAATTTATTAATTAATATTTTTGTGAAGACAATACTAACATTATGATTTTAGATTGTTAAATTTTTTAATTTTTTTTTTGTCGAGACTCACTTCTTTTTTATAAGGGTAATCACATATATAATAATATACAGTATTTATATACAAAAATATACTTAGTTACTACAAAGAATCTATATCACATTTACAAAATAGTAACTAAACGCGCATCTATTTTTTTTATTTTACAAATTACTTTTTTGTTCAAAAAAATATTGCTTAAAAAAACGATATGAAATGGTCGTTTTTCTTTGTTTTCTTTTTTTTTTTTGAATTTTTTTGTGCTGAGAAATCTGATAAAATTATAGAATTAGAACCAACAGGCATGATTTATCTACCTTGAATAATTCAAAAGTTTGTGATCAAATTCTTACATATAACAAACAGGGGTGGAGCTAACATGTGGGGAAAGTTGCCCCTACTGCCCCCTTGACCAATACTTATTACATTGGCCCCTCAAATATTTTAAAAATTTTGTATGGTAGTTATAGTCTTTTTTCTTTTCGGTAAGGTAGTGGTCCACTTGTTCCTTAATAGGCCTGTCAATGTTAATGAATCGAGTTTAAATCAAATTCTGATCGATTCGAATTTGAATCTGTTTTCAAAAATTCTGTTTAAAATCGATGAATTTTTGTTGCGTGATCCATATCTGATTCCATTAATAATCTAAAATTTCATTCAAAATTTAATCCGATCTGAATAACTTAATTAAATAAATTTTAACAAATTATACCTAAACTTTAACTAAATTTCTTTACATAATCACTTATTTTTTTAGTATTTATATAAAAATATATAAATAATTCAAATTGAGTCATAATCGGATCGGATATAGATATATTAGACATATCTCGTGCCTGAAGGCACGAAAAAACATAAAATTTGAGCAGTCAAAAAATCGATCACTCTATATTAAATAACAATTTGTTCCCTTTCATTTATTGATTGCATAATTTAAAATTTATTTTTATCCTTTATTTTCTTAAAAATATAGAATAAAATTTTTCAAAAATACATAATCTGATAAAAATTTTCTCAATATATGTATACTATCATATATAGATAATATCTGAAATAAAAATTATGTTAAACTATAAATTAATTAAGTACTAAATAATTGAGCATATGATAAATAGGTAATGTGATAGAATTGAGAGGGAAAATATGTGGGAGATAAAATTCAACTTCTCATGTGATTTATTGTATAGATTCAAATTCAAATACGTGAAATACAAGATATTGGATTCAGATTCAGATTATTAATCTATATTTGACTAATAGGCTAACCCAAAAGCATTTTTGTTGTTCCATAAAAAATAATTTCTTAACAAGATGGATGATGAAATCATCTAGGTTTCACAACATGATAAAAGGATTATTTTCAATCTACCTTTTGATTGCATTTAAAAAAATTTGGTATAAAATTAATCAATTATAAAAGATTATTGGGATTTGTAATGACGTCATATTTTACTTTAATATATGATTAAATTAAAATATACTATGCAGACATTATTACCATTATTTGTCCATATTTTGGTAATGCAAAATTGATACTAGTTTTATTCATATTCTTAGATTTGTATATATTTCTCATTATGTTCTTTAATCTTATAATTTCTTACAACCCAACTTATGAATTCAATTTCCTCATTGATGGAGGGTAATAAATCTATAATATAAATCAAAATAGACTTTAAAAAGTCTATTTAAAGGTTTCAATAGATTCATCCAACGGTCACCAATATTAATTAGTATTTTATCATTTAAAATTCAACCCAACTTCAAAGATTAAGACTTAAAATACAAATATGAGTATTGATAAATCTAAGGTGTACCGCGTGTATGATTGATAAATTGAGTCGAGCTACTCGGATTCGACTCGTTTTAAGATTAGTTTGAGAGAGAATGATTTGAGTTTTACTAAATTTTTATGCTTGTTTAATAAAACTAGCTTAAAAATATTCGACTCAAACTCACAAAAACTTGACTCGTTAATATGTAAAATAATCGAGCTACTCAAACTCAGCTCGTCTTGATTTCAATTCAAGTTCAGTTCATTTTTTAAACGAATCGAATTTGAATAATTTTTTATATCCGTTCAAAAAAAATGATCTCGATTTCATTATCGACCTTAATTACGTGTATAATAATAATTAAAAATTACTGCAGCAAACAGTGACACTCGACTTGGCTGGGCTTCTATCCACGTCAACATCAACATCAACGTCAACATATGAGGAAGCTACCCAAATACATGAAATGGACCCATTGTCCAGAATTGGACACATGTGAAAGTTACCCAAATAAATAAAATGAACCCACAATGGGATTTGAGGTGACAGGCACCAAAGATGAAGAGGGAGAGAGAGAGAGAGCTCTTGTTTAGCTTTCGGTTTGGTAAGAAGACAAATATCTGTCAAGGTTTGTGTGCCGAAAGATGGCCTTTTTCATTGTATTCTCAGGTACCATCCACTTAATCTTGTTGGCCTTTGCAGTAGTTAGATAATAGTCTTTCAAGGCACCTCATTTTTTTTTTTTTTTTATGATTAATGACTTATTTTATTTTGTTGACATGATAATGTGATAGTGACGTGGTCTAATATATAGTATTATTGTGACTGTATCTGTTAAATTTTTTTATTAGAACTTTATTATTTGATACATCATTATGTCAGTATATTAAATTAAATTTTTATATTTCAATAACATTAATTTTTTTATATTAGCAAATAAGTGGCTCAATTATGTGTTTTTGACATGATTACCCACGAACCATATCTAAGAGTGATGCTTTTGGGCACAACACTTTTGAACACGACATGATAACTTAAATGAAATTAGTGGTTGTGAACTTTGGATTGATTATTTTTATATATAAATTTAAAAATAACACGACTTAATACAATAGAAAATATACAGGTAATGTTAGTATCAAAGGCAAATAACCTGAATAATTTAATTAATTTTGTATAAATAAAAAAAAATAGATTTTTGTCATTATTGACATGAATCATTGTTAAATGAGATGATTTTTTTTACTTATCTTCTACTATTGTATGGATTTAATGAATTTTTACAAATAGATAAACAAAGAGTGGTGAATTTGGTTAGGAGATAATTGAGTCTTAAATTTTTTATTTTTCATTTATGAGTTATATTAGTTAATCCAAACGTCACGTGATAATAAATAGGGTGGTTTAACATATTTGACACAATTAATTAAATAGAATTGAGTTGACTAATGCTTTCACACAAATCCAGAATGGCATGAAGTACGCCTCGACAAGATTCAATTGCTACCCTTAACTACATCGATTGATTAAATCTTAAATTTTTGCCGTATGCAACCCTCAATTTTAGAAAAGGGTAATTCTAAAGTGTCAAAAAAAAAAAA